CTGCTTGAATCTGAGAGGCAGAGGTTGCAGTGAGCCGAGATCATGCCACTGCACTCCAGCCTGGGTGAAGAGCAAGACTACATCTCAGAAAAAAAAAAAAAAGAAACCCATGGTGGTGGATTAGCTTAAGGCCTGGTGTGAGGCAGTTGGATATTGAAATCTGTTAAGGCTGGGCAGAGACTTCAGAAATAGAGTGGGGAATATCTTTTCTTTCTTTTTTTTTTTTTTTTTTAAAGATGGGATTTCACCATGATGGCCAGGCTGGTCTTGAACTCCTGACCTCAGGTGATCCACCCACCTCGGCCTCCCAAAGTGCTAGGATTACAGGCGTGAGCCACCGGGCCCGGCCCAGAGTGGGGAATTTCTACTGCCTGGTGAGACAGAGGGATACTTGATATGGGCCCACTGTGAGATAGACCTGACAGTCAGCTCTGACTCATCTCTTAGGCTAACAGTGTAATAATCATTTGCTTCTCTCTCCCAGCCTCCATCATCTCCTAAGCTTTGTCAGTTTCTATTTCCAGAATATCCCTATTTAATTCTTAACTTAAATTGTGCCTTCTCCAAGCAGATCTCTAAGAAATTAGAAGGAAGTAGGTACTCCAATTAAACTCAGGTTTACCTTTCACTGTATTTTTTTAGACTTTGTACTTTAAATACTTATTAACATCTGCCCTGCAGTGCCTCCCTCACTAAGTATTAGCTCCTTCGTATTAGGAATCCACAATACTTATGACAGTATTTTTTATGCTGTAAATTCTCAGTTAATATTTCTGAAAGTCTTCATGCAGTGCAGTTGTAATGCTCAATCCTTTATCCTAGCCTTTTAGTTATTTTTGCATCTGTGTATAAGCTTCTTTATATTTCAGCAGCCCTTATAAAATGATTGTAATTGTCATATGCCACTGAAAAAGTGAGGCACTTTTAGAACGTTAAACTAGACATTTATCTCTACAGTCTTTATATGCAGTCTTTTTTGTAATATTGCAAGTTTTTGCTGCTTTTTTCAAATAATCAATTATAAAACAGGTAATATAAGTTACAATCTAAGGCTAAGGCAAATTTGTTCATCCTGTTAGTCATTTGGTTCATTCGAATGGCTGATAATAGAGTTGAATGCAAGAATGGTGGTAGTAAAAAGCAGGACTTCTCACTGGAGACTTTTTAAATGTCCCAGTAGCCCTGACAGTCTTTTCGTGCTGTTTTTAGTGGGCAGATTGTACCTCACTTGTTGTAACTTGGAGACCTTGAAGTACTTTAGGATCTAATTTCGAGTCTTTTAGCCCTTTCTGTGAATTTCTCTCATCAAAAGAAGTAATGTTTCTATAGGTTTCACTAAAATAATACTAATTTGGAAATACTAATTGTAAATTCTTTTCTATAGCCCAAGGCTAGTTATACTATATTTCCTATGAACTTTTTTTGTGGAATGCTTCAAGAGCTACAGTATTCAGTCTCACTTATTTGATTTTATGTGAAGTCTTAGTTCTAATTGTATAAAGCAAATAAAGGTATGTTTTCTCAGCAGAGAAAAATCAAGCAGAATCATAATTACTTTGGCATGTAGCACAATGAAGAGGAGTCATCATTTTAGGGGATATTTTTTGTTTCTGTAATAAAATCAGCAAAGTTAAATGTGTATGTGTGTAGCAACATCCAATGGGCTATTTTACTCTGGGTGGGTAGTAAGTTTTCAGTTTGTTGATACGCAGTAAACAGTTGAATTGTCTCTGTTAAATGTCACTAGTACTTCTCATTATTTTTAGAAGTCACAAGCTGTAACTGACAAATCAGAATACAGAGATAACTTAGAACAAAGAACAACTCTGCTTTAGTATCAGCAAGTCTCCAGTTACCCTGCTTTAGTGAGTGTTTCATTAGACTATTTCTGGAGATTGGTTCAGTTATAAGCAAACAGAGCTATCAGAAAATGCCAGGTTAGCTGACCTGATTTCAGAGGCCATCTTTCCAAATCAAGTTTTCCTATTTCCAAATACGATGAAAATGTTTGCCAATTTTGTATTCTTTATGTTAATTCATTGTTGTATTATTTATTTATTTTAATTTTTTTTTTCTTGAGCTGCTGATTTTACTATACATTTGGGCTACATTTTTCTTAAGAGAATCACCACAAAGTAGTAATATGAATACCTTTTTTAATGTGAAAAGATATAAAATCTCTTTTAATAACTTTTCACTTATCCATCATATAATATCAAATATACCTGTAATCCCAAATATGATCCTTTTGAGAAGGAAAGAAATCAGATCAAATGCATCATTAAGAAAAAACATGCACACTAAATAGACAACTCTACTGGGACAAAGACCATGATTTTGCATATTTTTTCATTCCCCAATTTCTGACAGTATTCTCAGAATTATTTCTTAGTTAATGAATAGCAAATTGATTTATTGGTTAAATTAGCAACTATGGAGCTACCTAACAGTACAAAATAAATGAATAATTCACCAGAAACTAGCTCTAAGATATTAAATTTAATTACTTTGCAGCAACATAATTTAGTATCAGATGTTTAACAAGTACCCATTATAATTGCTAAACTGTGAAGTCACTATTATTTGTATCTGACCAGCTATACAAAACTGATCAGTTTTTCTTTTGACAAAAGGTAGTAAAAATTGCAAACAATAAAGAAGACACTACTCATTAAAAGTTATGTTTACTAGTCTCTGAATAGCTGAAAAGAAAGAAAGAAAAAGTCATGTTTACTAATCTAGCACCATAATTCCAGTCTTAGGACCTCCCGTGCAGTTGGAAAGGGAAAACAGGAAGAGGTGAGTATGTTGGAAATGTAGGGTAGTTCTCAAATTGGGGTCCCATTTTGCTTGCTCTAAAGCAAAAAACGCAGGATCTAGCAAAGAAGTGGAGCGCTGAGGCTGAAGATGAAAACAAAAGCTTTTGGTTCAGATGGTAAAGGAGGCCCTCAAGAGCAGTAGAATCAGTGTATCCGAAGGCAGTGCTGGAGGCAGTCTCATGAACTAGGGGGTTTCTTCTTGGCATCCAGGTCCTTTTTAATTTCTTCACATTTTTTAGCAAGGTTTGGTATGTCATAGTTCTGAGCCAGATACATTCCAACCACATTGCCCAAAGTAAATCCAAGCAGGAACTGGAGCATGATGTCGGTGGGGAGGGCTAGGAGGGTGCGAAGGACGGCTGCAGCTCTGCGGGCCGGTCCCATTGTTGTATTTTTTAAAACTTTGTTCTTTATGTTTCTGTATTTTTGTTTTTTGTTTTTTGTTTTTTGTTTTGAGACAGAGTTTCGCTCTTGTTACCCAGGCTGGAGTGCAATGGCGCCACCTCAGCTCACCGCAGCCTCTGTCTCCTGAGTTCAAGCAATTCTCCTGCCTCAGCCTCCCGAGTAGCTGGGACTACAGGCACACACCACCATGCCCAACTAATTTTTGTATTTTTAGTAGAGATGAGGGTTTTACCATGTTGACCAGGATGGTCTTGATCTCTTGACCTCATGATCCGCCTGCCTCAGCCTCCCAAAGTGCTGGGATTGTAGGCATGAGCCACCGCAGCCGGCCTCTGTATTGTTTTTATTGAAAAATCAATAAAGAAAAGTAAATAGGGAATAGGGATGCTTACTTCTCAATGAGTGGACTTTGAAAGTGGCTTTTTAAATTAATATATTTCTGTGTTCAGGGATTAGATTATATAGTGCCAGTGAGGTACCTGAGGATTAGGAAAGAAGAGGCACGTTAGGTGAGACGACGCACTACCTACTGGGCCAGTGAGGCACCTGGGGAGCATGTTATAATTTAGGGTATGTGGGCTATCATTTTCATTAGATTACAGTTGCCAGGGTAAGCAGATCCTGGGGAAGAAAAGGGGTTTCTCCACCATCCATTCTGCTGAGGCTGCTCAATTCTCTCTCCACACAGCCCTAAACTCTTACACCCAGAACTTTTAAATTCCTAGAAGAAAAGGGGCTTAAATATATCTTACATACTTTTCCTTTCCCCCTTCACTTACATTGACTAAAATTAACTGTTCAACATCTTCATCTTATGTTTCATGTAGTGAACTGCTGAATAAATGTTGTCTGTCTGCGGTTGTCAGCCAAAAGCCTCAACTCATGTTGTATTATTTTTGCCTGGCAAGTCAAGAGACCCTATTTGGAGATGATTCCACTTTCTTTTTCTTCTTTTCAAAAAACACTAAAGCCTACAGAACCACATTTCAAAAATAGGAGCATTTATCTTGCTAATCTTTCTTTCTTCTAATTCTTGATAAAGGAAAGGAAAAAAGTGCATCGCAATACTGAAATTTAATCAGTAGCCTAAAAGTCTTTGACAGTCTTCACAAAGACATTAAATTCTTTTTTTCTATTTTTAGTAATTTTATCTGAATTACTGAAACACTGAGCATTTAAGTAGTTTCTTCTTCCTTCATTTCCAAATATAAGACAATTTTTTATGAGAGTATAGGCAGAGCTGAAGTGACTATTTGAGAATCATTTAACTGGTAATTTCTTTAAAACAGTCTATAGCAAATGTATTCTTGGTTTTGTTTTCAGATATCATTTCAGGTATCAAATTCATTTTTTGTAGAAATTAGTATAATAATTACCTTACGGTTATTTCAATGTGTCGATAATATTACACTTTCCAAGAGCCAGCAGGTATTCTCACAATGACTCATGGGGTCATTTTTAGTTTTTCCACTTGTATGATTGGACACTGCCTGGAATAGTATCCTGGAATAAGCGTCAGGAATATCTTCCTTTTGTGGTAGAGTTCTCATGAAGGGCAGTATTCATACTGGGAAACGAAGATAACAGAAGATCCAGAGAATACAAATTGGCCCTCGGTCACATGACTAGGCTTCCTAACAGTGCTCCAGAAGGAATGCTTAGTTTCATAGAGCAATATGTGTTTTTTAGAAAAACTTGGAATCCTTTTGCTAATGTAGTAAATACTGGGGGCAAGTTGAAATTTTGCATTTCCTAACGTCTTTTATTTATGCCTAGATGATGGACCATCTGGACTATGCAACAAATGAAGAAAACCCTGTGATGTCTGGTGAACAGATTGTCCAGTAGTAATAATATGTGGAACTGCTATAATGGGTCACTGATTTTCTACAAATAGACTTTGACTTTTTAAATTGACTTTCGAATTGACAATCTGAAAGAGTCTTCAATGATATGCTTGCAAATATATATTTTTATGAGCTGGTACTAACAGTTACATCATAAATAATTAAAATGCTTTGCTTTTAATGTTAAAGTTGTGCCTTCACATTAAATAAAAGCATATGGTCTGTGTAGTTACCGAGATGTATTATATACAGTATATTTTTCTAAAAAAAATTGCCTTGACCCACCCCTATACTTTTTTACTAAAATCTGTTTTTTTCAGCTCTAATGTTAGATAAAAGTATTACTATTGAAGTGAGTTTCTGAATGAGTTTTACTGTAAAGAATTATGCAAATTATTTCTGCTTTATAGAAATAACTAAGACCATGCAAAAAGGCAGTTCAGCAGTGAAAATTCACACCTTGTATCACTGCAGAGGTTAGAAATACATAATTTTTAAATAAATATAAGTGCATATTTTTGTAGTATTTTTTAAGCCCAATCTTTTCATAAACTTCAGAACTGAAAATTACTTTAGACTGCATGTGTATATTAAGAACATTTTTTCTATGTATAAAGAAAGATATAGAACAAGTCACTAAAATTAGGAGACAAACTGAAATCTAGTTTTCATTGGTCTGTTGTTTTTTTGAAAATGTAGCTTAAATTTCAATATTAACATTTAGTTTTACTTTGGTATTTTTGATCTTTGAAATGTGGTTCTCTTGATGTTGAGGTTTGATTTTTTTAAAATTATTTTTCTTAAGAAATTATGTATTAATACATATGGCTCATTGTTGAGTACAACATTTCTAAAATTATCCCACGTTTTTCCACCCCACCCATTATCTTTTTTTTTTTTTTTTTTTCTGATTCCCTCCTCTTACCCCATAGGTAATGACTGTTAATCTTGGTGGAGGATGTACAAAGTGTGGTTCAGAGGAAAGAATTGACAACAACAGCAAGAGACTTGGTGTTAGTCTCAGTTTCATTGCAATAACAAAGAAGAGTTGAGTAATTTGCCACAGCTCAAGACACTGGTATTTCAGTTTTCTCATTGACAAAATGAGTAGGTTAGACCAGCTAATTACTCTGGTACCTTCCAACTTGAAAAAACTTTTTCCTCATTCTTTGGTAATTTTCATATGTGGCCTGAACATTCTCCTGGGAGTCAGAGGTCAAATTATCTTTTCATTTTCTTTTATTTTATCTAAGAAATTCCAAAATGACAAGTGATAACAAAGGCAGCAGGATTTTTCATTTCTCTAAGTAATATATAAAATATGTGAACAGATCTATGTCTTTCATCTAAGTCCAGTTCAACTTATTAAAAAATAAACCTAATGCCTCTTAAAATGGATTAGACCTTTGATCTTTGAACTAAATTTTGTATTAGACACTTTATAAAACTTGTTTGCTTTTGCTGAATAAATTGCAAATAGAGAAGCTCCATTGACAATCAGTCCCTCTTTCTGCTTAATGCAGTTATGGGTCCTTTCGTCTGACAGGAGTTAATTTTACCTCCATTGTATCAAATTTGATTTTTTTCCAAGGAATCTAATTTATTTGGCAGACTGTGAGAGAGAACAGATTAAGTGCCACTTCCCCCCACCAGTGCCATTTTTAAACTCTTAACTATATTTTCATTTATAATATTCATAAGATATTTGCCAAAATATGGTTTTTCTTGTAAAATTACCTGCACCCATCCCAGCTTTATGATATTTAAAAGCCTCAGTCACATTTTATGAAGAATGTTAAAGAAAATTACTGGGGTTTTTTTTTTTTAACTACATTGAAATAATTTCTTAAAATAATTTGGTTTCATATAGCTGGAGTGGTCATTAATATTTTAATTTCATCATCTAGATTTTGCTCCTCAATAGCATAGTAACTGGTGCATCCAGAAATCTGAAATCTGAGTTATTTGATACAAATTCGACTTTATCCAACCATTAGTTACTAAGGAGGTAAAATCTTGTTCTAATTTGCTATTAAAATCTTATTGGTTAAATAGAAATGAGAAAAAGTATACTCAAGTTTGTTCATCCTCAATGTCAACTTTATATTGTAATTAAATGTGTAGCAACCAAGCTGAAATAGTGATTAAGAAATTAACATACAGAAATATTTTATTTGGGGACTCAGAATGAACAAAAGAGAGAGGGGATGAAAATTTGACTTAAAAAAGCTGTCATCTTCTCTAAGATGGCAGCAAAAAAAAAAAAAGCTGTCATCTCTTCCTCTCTTGCGCTCCCACCACCAATGATTTTAAGAGGAAGAGGAGCTGCTTTTTCCCTAAACATGTCTTTAATGATACACTGTATTTATTAATTATTGTTGCAAAAAAAATGTTCTTAGAAAAGTCCTATAAACATTTTTGTGGCTTATCAAACAAATCACTGTCTTAAATTATAGTGTAGATTGCTTTTACCTTGATTTAGTCTAGCAAAACCAAATGTGAGGCTTGTGGGGAAGACCTTGATATTCTAATACATTATATTTTCTTCTCGCTTACGGATTTTTTTTCTTGAGACCAAGTTTTGCTCTTGTTGCCCAGGCTGGAGTGCAATGGCACAATCTCAGCTCACCACAACCTCCACCTCTCAGGTTCAAGCAATTCTCCTACCTCAGCCACCCGAGTAGCTGGGATTACAGGCAGGTGCCATGGCACCCAGCTAATTTTGTATTTTTAGTTAGAGGTGAGGTTTCTCCATGTTGGTAAGGCTGGTCTCAAACTCCCACCTCAGGTGATCCTCCTGCCTTGGCCTCCCAAAGTGCTGGGATTACAGTCATGAGCCACTGCGCTCGGTGCTTGAGGATTTTTTTTTTTAGATTAGCAATTCCTTATTAGTAGACTCTACAATTTATTTCTCTTTTAAAGAAAGAGAATTTTAACCCATCTGCTATTGGCATTCATATATTTTACTTACATGTCCATGGAGATTTTAGTGAATTGATACATTTATAGTAAATACAAGTGAGCTTTCCAGTTTTCATTGCTCTTTAAATTTATGCTTTAGTATAAACAAAAATTATTTTTACATGGCCGGGCGCGGTGGCTCAAGCCTGTAATCCCAGCACTTTGGGAGGCCGAGGCGGGTGGATCACGAGGTCAAGAGATCGAGACCATCCTAGTCAACATAGTGAAACCCCGTCTCTACTAAAAATACAAAAAATTAGCTGGGCATGGTGGCGTGTGCCTGTAATCCCAGCTACTCAGGAGGCTGAGGCAGGAGAATTGCCTGAACCCAGGAGGCGGAGGTTGCGGTGAGCGGAGATCGCGCCATTGCACTCCAGTCTGGGTAACAAGAGGGAAACTCCGCCTCAAAAAAAAAAAAAAATTATTTTTACATTTTTTAAAATTGTTATGGCTACATAATAGGTGTATATGTTTACAGGATGTTTTGATACAAGCATGCAATGTGAAATAAGTGCATCATGGAGAATGAGGTATTCATTTCCTCAAGCATTTTTCCTTTGAGTTACAGACATATTTTACATTTGACTTAAAAATACTTTAACTAAGGCCGGACAAGGTGGCTCACACCTGTAATCCCAACACTTTGGGAGGCTGAGACAGGCATATCACGAGGTCAGGAGTTCAAGACCAGCCTGGCCAACATGGCGAAACCCTGTCTCTACTAAAATTACAAAAAATTAGCTAGGTGTGGTGGTGTGCACCTGTAATCCCAGCCACTGGGGAGACTGAGACAGAATTACTTGAACCTGGGAGACGGAAGTTGTAGTGAGCCGAGATCGTGCCATTGCACTCCAACCAGGGCAACAGAGTGAGACTCCATCTCAAAAAACAAAAATTTGAAGTAATTTAAGCTTGATCTCTAAAATTTCAGCCTGATGTTGACCAATGAAATTTTTCCTTTTTTTGTTTTTTTGTTTTTTTTATTTTTTTCTACACATTCAGAGAAACTTCTCCAGTAACACACTACAGAAATGATCCCGGCCGGGCGCGGTGGCTCATGCCTGTAATCCCAGCACTTTGGGAGGCCAAGGCGGGTGGATCACAAGGTCAAGAGATCCAGACCATCCTGGTCAACATGGTGAAACCCCGTCTCTACTAAAAATAACAAAAAATTAGCTGGGCATGGTGGCACGTGCCTGTAATCCCAGCTACTCAGGAGGCTGAGGCAGGAGAATTGCCTGAACCCAGGAGGCGGAGGTTGCAGTGAGCCGAGATCACGCCATTGCACTCCAGCCTGGGTAAGGAGCGAAACTCCATCTCAAAAAAATAAAAAGGAAAAAAAAATGATCCCTGAAAGTATAGTCTTTTTTTGTTTGTTTTTTACCAATGAAATTTCAAAAACAAAAATTGAACTTCAATCTACAATTGAATGGAATTCAGTGTAGACCAGTACCGTAAAATATACTGGTCCGAAAGGCTTTATAGTTTCCCATTGTTAAGAAAAAAATTGAATTTATTTAGGATGTTGCTGGATAACTAGTTCTACAATTAAAATATATAAATGGCCGGGCGCAGTGGCTCACGCCTGTAATCCCAGCACTTTGGGAGGCCGAGGCAGGTGGATCACGAGGTCAAGAGATCGAGACGATTTTGGTCAACATGGTGAAACTCCGTCTCTACTAAAAATAAAAAAATTAGCTGGGCATGGTGGCATGTGCCTGTAATCCCAGCTACTCAGGAGGCTGTGGCAGGAGAATTGCCTGAACCCAGGAGGCGAAGGATGCGGTGAGCCGAGACCAGGCCATTGCACTCCAGCCTGGATAACGAGAGCAAAACTCCGTCTCAAAAATAAATAAATAAATAAATAAATAAATAAATAATTCATTAGCAGTGCCTTATTTACCTTAGAGGAAATAAAGGGGTTAGTGAAGATAATGCTAATAAAATCAAAATATCAAATATAAGCTGGGTGTAGTGGCACGTACCTGTAATCCCAACTATTCCAGCTATTTGGGAGGCTGAGATGGGAGGGTCCCTTGAGTCCAGGAATTTGAGACTGCAGGGAGCTGTGATCCTGCCTGTGAATAGTGATTGCACTCCAACCTGGGTGACATAGCAAGACCCCATCTCAAAGAAATGTATATATTTCTACACTTATAAAATAAATACGCATTTCCTGGAAGAAAGGTACTCTGTAAATTCAAGAGATCTGAATCAAATTGCTCAACTTTTTGGAATTTGGTTGTCTAATACTCATGGGAGATTACTGTATTTTCAGAGAAAAAAATTGACGAGATAATATATAGGCCA